CTCTTTCTCTCTTTCTCACTCTCTCCTCTCCTCCTCTCTCCCCAGCCCCGTCTCCCAGGTTTAAGACTGCCAGACGGGTAGTACAAAAAAAAAAAAAAAATGCGAGGCGGGTTGGCCCTAGAAATTAGCATTGCTATCTACGCCCGGCTGAGAATGTGAGCTAATCTCCTGCAGCAGAGCCGTTAAAATAATTGATGAATGTGGGCTGGTGTCTCAGGAGTGGAGGAGTATTGGGTGGGGGGAGGGGGGAGAAGGGGGGAAGGGGGCGGGGGAGGAGGTACTGATTTCACTCCGGTAGCGTCAGAATTGCGTCAATTTGGGTTTCAACCACGTCTTCGGGCTCCGAGCTTCGGTGAGTCAGAAGACTCGAACCAGCGGACAAGGGGCTCACGAATCACCGTGACGGAAGGGAGGACCCGACCAGGCCTGCCTTCCCTTCCGTGTCTCTCTCTCTCTCTCTCTCTTTCTTCCCCCCTCCCACCAGCGATTCCTCTCTCTACCTCTTCCTTCTCCTCCTCCTCCTCTTTCCCAAACCTTCCCGGGTCTTTCGGGCTGGCGCTGGCATCGCGTCGGGAAACATCGCGTCCTCCCCTCTGGTTGGTGGGCTTGCGCGCGTGTTGCCTTTTGCGCCGGTTTCCGCCGGAGGGAAAGAGGCAGAAGGAGAGAAACCTTCAGCACCTTGGACAGCGCACGCAGCACAAACAACATGGCTCCGATTACAGCCAACAGAGAAGAATTTGGTAAGTAAGATTTATTTTCTTTCTTTCTTTCTTTCTTTCTTTCTTTCTTTCTTTCTTTCTTTCTTTCTTTCTTTCTTTCTTTCTTTCTTTCTTTCTTTCTTTTTAAAGAGAGAAATTACAAAAATGCGAATCCAGGTGGGTTTCATTTCTCTCCCTCCCCACCCCCCCACAGGTCTTTCTCAGGCAAAGTAGATGACTCTGCCATTTTGGGCTCCTTAGGGAGTTTGGACCCTTGGAAGCCTCGGGCAGTGTTTCCACTTTGATCTTGGGGTGTGTGTGTGTGTGTGTGTGTGTGTGCCCCCTTCGCCTCCATTTCCAAGCATCTGTGGGAGGATGGGTGGTGGATTGGGCAAAAGTTTGCACCTTTCCAATCTGCTGCTGCTTTTAGACGTTCAAATTATCCCTGTTTTATCCTTCTGTCTTCCTTCTCCTGGTGTTGCAAACAGAATATAAGGACCAAGGACCCGGGGTAAGGGGGTTGAAGAGAAAGAAAGGATGGATTTGCCTTAATCTTTGTTTAAAGGAAGCCCTGAGTGAGAAGAGCATGAGTCATTTCGAACCTCTATTCCACATGCTCTTAAAAAAAAATATCATAATTGCTTCCGTTAGTGCAAGGGTAGCTACTAGACACTTAAAAAAGATTAGTCATCCATCTCAACATTCATATCATCTCTCTAAGTAGATGTCTGTTTGCCTCTTGTCATAAGTGTTGTTCCTTGGATAATGCACCTAAAGTGTTACCTCATGCTTTTAACTCAGTGCAAGATTTCAGAGAGAAACTTAAAGTGGCTTTGGCTGCTTTGGCTCTTACCTAACATCAAAACCTGAAAATTAGAACAAAATCAACCCTTGATTGATTTTTTTTCCATCTGCTGGAATGCTGAATAAATAAGCTTTTATTTGTTGACCAAGAGAAAAATGCCTACATAGGTTTCTTTTTTTCAGGTGTTTAACTGTGGGGAAGATGAGTGAGTGAACATTGTCTCATTGATTGTCTTTGCCATGTAATGCTCTCTGGGTACCACCTTTGCCGACAAAGTATTGTGCTTTAAACTCCTGATGGTCTCTTCTGGGACAATGGGATTATTCCTAAGCAACATATGTTATTTCTTCCATCCCTGGGTCAAATCATTCTTCTGGCTTTCCGTTAGAATAAACCAGTTCAATGTTGACTGCAGTTTGCATGCAGAGAGTGTGAAAGTGGTTTTTTTCATATCGACGCTCTTGAGATCTGCCTTGTTCTTTTTCTTGATAACTGGTAGAGTCTCAAAAGTCAGCATCTCGTTCTCACACAGATGTTAGAATACCTAGGTGAGCCTAGGAAAACAGCGTCAAAGCAGATGGTGTTCCCACTGGTGATTACGAGAGAGCATGATGAGTTGGGATTTCTTCTTGTCCATCCCCCTCCTAGGTGCTTCTAATTTCATTTGCGACAGGCTGCTCACCTCCTAATTGACTTTGGGAAGATAATTAATATCTGTAACTTTCTCCCAGAAACAATCTTCTGGGTGGAGGCTTCTAGAAAGTACTTGCAAACACATCGGTTGACAGTTAAAACCTGTTCACGGGAGATAATACCCACCTGAACTTCCTTCTAAGTGTCTTATAGAAATGTCATTCCCTCCCTGCTGATAAGTTGTCCCTCAACTGGAAGAGATATTAAAAAAGGGGCGTGTGAAGGGAGTTAGTGACATAGAAAGAGGATACCTGGAACTGACCCCGTCACCAACGTCTTATCCCAAAGCAACATTTCCTGTAGACTAACGTACAACCATGAGTTGTCGTCTCATTAATCAACCCCAGTCAAAATGGAAAAGTCCTCTCCTCAAAAAGCCAGAAAACCTTCGTGCCAGAAGCTAATGCTTCCAAAAATGACAATGGTCCATACTCAACCTTTTCAATGCTTGCTTAGTAGGTCCATTCATTGTCCCATAATTTTAATGGAGGGGTGAGTCCGCTACCCTTCTGCTATTCAAAAGCGGAGTCCTTCTCTCTAAGAACGCATCCACTTCTCCTTTCCAGAAAATCCCCCTGCAAGAAAGAATGCAGCCCACATTTCCTTGCTTACCTATCCCCACGCATGAAAGACACACTTCTTTTCTGCATTAATATTTCATGTGTTCCCATTTTGCCTAGGCTTCCATTTGGATTGCTGTTGCCAGCGCCTGGTGCTTAAACTTGCTGGGAAATGTTACTTATGGGCAGAATCAGCTTTCCAATTAGTGGCGTTCATTTGGCCCTGTGCTGCTTACTCATGAAATGCTAATGATCTTCTCTCAGTGTCCCACTTTAACCGTACTCCAGATGTCATTGCAGCTTCCATGCTGTTTTCCCTATTGCTGGCTAGAATGTGGGCTCTTTTCTCTGAGTGATGGAGAGAAAGGAAATCATAGTTGTTGTGCTTGCAGAAGGAGACACTAAATCCTTGTTCTTTAGGCATCTACATTTGCTGGAGACTTCTGAAAATCCTGATCGGTTTCTCCTGCAACTAGAAAAGAAAAAATAAACCATGCACATAAGAGATAATGAAATAATGGGGAAGAAAAATCATTGTATCTTATTTATATCAACACTGAGCTTTATACCAGCATGCCAGACTGGTGGAAAAACTCATAAAAGTTAACATTTTCCTGCTGTATTATAATATATTCTGTAAAATCTTTGTATAAAGATGAAGTTTACTGAACATAAGGGACAAAGCAAAGACTGTTATGAAAGTGAACATCATGGGAATAATATATTTCAATTTTTTTTTTATCGGCCAGACAAAAAGGCAAATGGGAAGGATGTAAGAGGGAATCAAACATCTTTGCATACTTAGTGAATCGGTAACTTTGTCTAGGAAACCAACAAAATTTAATTGCACCAGGCTGTTTATTACAACCATGATTGCTAAACTCTATTTCTCTCGATCATGCATGCATCTGGAGAAAAATCTCCAGACAGATTTTTTTTTTTTCATAGATACCTGCAGGGGGCACAAAATGAATATGCTTTCTCTTAGTATATTGTACAGTCGAATTGCTTCACTCTATCATTTTGCCGGATTCTTGCTAAGTTAACTATCACTTGTGAGCTTTGAAGCCCACTGTTCATATGTTTGTTGACATTTGCTTTGATTTGCAGATGAAATTCCAACTGTGGTTGGGATCTTCAGTGCCTTTGGGCTGGTCTTCACCGTCTCCCTCTTTGCTTGGATCTGCTGCCAGCGCAAATCTTCAAAAGCCAACAAGACTCCTCCTTACAAATTTGTCCATGTGCTGAAGGGTGTTGATATTTATCCGGAGAACCTCAACAGCAAGAAGAAGTTTGGTGCAGACGACAAAGGGGAAGCCAAAAACAAGCCTATTATGCCAAAGACATCTCTGCATCTTGACCTGGAGAAACAAGATCTGAATGGCAACTTCCCCAAAACAATTCCTAAAGTACCAACTTCTTCAGATGTTGAAGGCTTTACTCCAAAACTCTTTCCTGAGAGGGAAAAAGATTCAGTATCTCCTGACAGCTTGAAGTCAACCACCTCAATATCTTCCGAAGAAAAGCAAGATAAATTAGGGACTCTCTTCTTCTCCCTAGAGTACAACTTTGAAAAGAAGGCTTTCATGGTGAACATCAAAGAAGCAAGTGGTTTACCAGCCATGGATGAACAATCAATGACTTCTGATCCATACATCAAAATGACAATACTGCCAGAGAAGAAGCACAAGGTGAAAACTCGAGTACTGAGGAAAACCTTAGATCCAGCTTTCGATGAAACGTTCACCTTTTATGGAATCCCTTATGCTCAAATTCAAGATCTGAGTCTCCATTTTATGATTCTGAGTTTTGACCGGTTCTCCCGCGATGATGTCATTGGTGAAGTCCTATTTCCCTTATCAGGAATTGAGTTATCTGAAGGAAGGATGCTGATGAACAAGGAAATCATCAAGAAAAATGTTAGGGTAATTGATCTTACTTATTGTTTCCCCCTCCCCCCCAACTTAAGAAGTATTTTGAAGAGGTGAGTTGTACGAATAGTAGTATCATGTTGACATTTTGAAGAAATGAATGAACTAGACCAGGGGTGTCAAACTTGCGGCCCACGGCAGAGGTGGTATTCAAGCAGGTTCTGACCAGTTCTGGAGAACCGGTAGTGGAAATTCTGAGTAGTTCAAAGAACTGTCAAATACCACTTCTGACTGGAGATTTTACAGCATTCTTCCCCTGCCATGCCCACCAAGCCACGCCCATGGAACTGGTAGTAAAAAAAAATTGACTCCCACCACTGGCCCACAGCCGGATGTGTCACATGGTGGCCATGCCCACACCCAGTTTAGCAAAGGGGAAAAAGTTGCAATATATCACGTGACAATGCCATGATGATGTGAGTTTGACACCCCTGAACTAGACATTCTAAACAGGATAAAAGGATTTGTAAACCAGTATCCTGTCTATGGAGATTCTCAATCAACCAGGTTAGGGTAGCCCTAAAGGTGCTTTACCAAAAGGCAACTGAACTTTCTCAAGTTTTTTTTTTCCCTTGAAAATATTTCAAGAAAAACATCCAGTTCTGCAGATGAGAAGTCAAATGTTTTCAAGGAAAAACAAAACAAAACAAGAAAGTCTAATTTTGGAAATGCACTCTTGGGGTAAACCAATATTCTCTTTTCACTTATATCAGGCCAAGCAAGAAAGGAAATGATTTATAATGTGATAACTCTTGAGGGAATCTCGGTCTCACTTTCCCAATTCCTACTTAGCATTTAGCCCACGTGTTTGGGCATTTAAGATAACAACTCACTTTTAGAGTTGTGTACAACATAATGGGATAAGCCATATCGCAGAATATTACAAGGTGTTTTAAACGAGCCAGACCACAGGTCATTGTCGCTGGTAGCAGCTCTCCAAAGGGATTGCCAAGATCCAATCTGTAGATAATGATTCATCCTCCCTGTAGTTAAAACTTGGTTTGATGACCCTCTGTGCTGATTAACAGGAATAGATCCTGCAACAAACCAGATTCAGTGTAGGAACTTGCATCAGCACAAAAACCCACAGGACATATTTTGTGTTATCAGCATCAAGGCATTGAACTCAACTCATCACAATAGAGCAGCTCTCTTATGCTCTGATTGATTAGAGTACAGGGCCATAATGCTGAACTGTTTAATAGCTGTATGAGTGGGCTCACAGATTTGGCAGGATCAGCAATAATTCAGACATAATTCACCTTGGTGATAGGATAAAGGAAATAATCTACCGACTGAGTTTTACGAGCCTTCCTCGAAAGACAAACTCATTTCACAGGAGGCAAACCAGGAGAAACCTTGGTTCCTTGTCGAGCATAGTGTAGCAATCAAAGCACAAAGATATAAGTCAATAGTTTACGAGCCTTGACAGAAACAAGAAATTAGACAACAATCCCCAGGACAGCTGTAAACTGTTGATTAAACTCTATCAAGAGGGAATCAGAGCAACTGCCAAAGGGCCAATTCCTTTCCTTTTTCTATTGAGACAGTAATATTAATATTTTATTTGTGATTAAAAATATTGGGAGACAAAAGACTAATTATCGACACGGTCTAGACTGAGAGTGGTCTAGGTGCATCTCTATCAAACAATAAAGCATTATAACAGAGTTGGAAGGGGCCTAGGAGGTCTTCTAATCCAGGCAGGAAACCCTATACCATTTCAGATAAATGGTTGTTCAAACTCTTTTTAAAAACATCCAGTGTTGGAGCATCCACAACTTCTGGAGGCAAGTCGTTCCACTGATGAATTTGTTTTCACTGTCAGGAAATTTCTCCTTAATTCTAGGTTGCTTCTCTCCTCGATTAATTTCCATCCATTGTTTCTTCTGGTGCTTTGGAGAATAGGTTGACTCCCCCTTCTTTTTGGCAACCTTTTAGCTTTTGGAAGGCTGCTATCATGTCACCCTTCTTTTAATTATACTAGACATACTCAATTCCAACAACCCTTCTTTATATGTTTTAGTCTCCAGTCCCCTAATCATCTTTGTTGCTCTTCTCGGCACTTTTTCTAGAGTCTCAACATCTTTTTTTTTAACATCGTGGTGACCAAAACTGCATACAGCATTCCAAGTATGGACTTATTAAGGCATTATAAAGTGGCATTAATACTTCCTGTGATCTTGATTCTATTCCACTGTTTATGCAGCCTAGAACTGTGTTGGCTTTTTTGGCAGCTGCAGTACAATGGCTGGTTCATAATTAAGTGATTGTCCACCAGGACTCCAAGATCTCTCTCACAATTGCTAATACTGAGCCAGGTTCCACCTATCCTATACCTGTGCATTTGGTTTTTCTTGCCTAAATGTAGAACCTTAGCTTTTTCACCACTGAATTTTATTTTTGTTAGAGAGGACACAATGTACAAGTCTCTCAAGATCCTTCTGTATCTTAAGCCTATCTTCTGGAGTATTGGCTATTCTTGACAGCTTGGTGTCATCCACAAATTTGATAAGTTCCCCATCTATCCCCTCATCCAAATAATTGATGAAGATATTGAAGAGTACTGAGCCTAAGACAGAACCTTGGGGTGCCCCGTTGCATACTTCTCTCCATGTAGATACAGTTCCATTGGGGACTACATGTTATCACCTACACATTAGAAATTACAGAATACTCTATGAATTGGAATAATGAGTATCATCACCCATACAAATGCCACACCCATCTGAAATATATTCAGGACAGTCAGCATACTTATCCACTTTTCCCTTATGGAGTAACAAAGGAATATTTGCTAAGCAAACTCACCCACTAAATTCTAGATCTATAATGAGAACATCTATAAATGCTCAAAATGAAAATGGTATAAGGCCTTATAGATTTTTGTCATTCAAATCTAGGATTTAGTGTGTGAGTTCGCTTAGCAAATATAAGATATAGAAAGGAAGGTAGATGATCTTGAAAGAAACATTCAGGAACTGATATCTAAGCAAAAAGTACTATTTTTTAAAGTCCAGAGTAATGAGATAATATTTCCAAATGAGCAGAACAGGTGCTTCCTTAATTAACTGGAGTATCAGAGGGGGAGGAGGTATAGTACACTCAGAATACAGAATTACAAGTTGTAAGGAACCTTGGAGGTTGTCTAGTCCAACCCTCTGCTTGAGCAGGAGATCCTATACTCAGGCTCCATTTTTCTAGCCTATCTCACTAAATAATAGTTTTAGTCTTCCTGGGCACTAGATTTCCTGGTCTGGTCTACCTACTGAAGTCAGGTCATTCTGCAATAAAAATAAGGGTATTATTGGTTTGGACAGCAAATCTGGTTTTTAAAATAGATTTTAACTCATCTCAACAGGTGACAGTACTTGGTTTACTTTGTTTGAGTTCAGAAGGGAAACAGAATTGAGCTTGATAAGAGATCCCTATTAAATACCAATGTTATATGTTTGAGTGACATGTTGAAATACTTTTTTGAAGAAGGCAATGATAAACCACTTTAATGCTTTTGAGGAAACATCTCAGAATAACAGAATAAAAGAATTAGGAAGGACCTTGGAGGTCTTCTTGTCCAATATCCTGCTTAGGCAAGAAACCCTATACCATCTCTCTCTCTCTCTCTCCATCCTATCCTATCCTATCCTATCCTATCCTATCCTATCCTATCCTATCCTATCCTATCCATCCTCCCATCCATCCATCCATCCATCCATCCATCCATCCATCCATCCATCCA